GCTTTCGGCTTTCTTTCTGTATACGGCCGTATAATGAATTGGCTGGCTAAATTAACCAAATGGCTGCGACATACAAATAGAATGTTGTCGATTCGGGCACGATTCTCTAAACCTAATATTAAATTTGACAACTGTGTATCTTTGACATTTTCTATACAGATTGAAAAGGAGACACTGATGTTAAATAAAGTTTTAAGTAAGAATCGTGCCAGAATCGACACCATTGGCTAGTTTTTGCAAAACAGCCCATGAAGAGAATCTGCAAGCGCCACTGTCAAATATAAGGAAATGAAGATTTCGAATTTTAAACTTTATTCTGCTGTAATTTTCTTACTTGTCTAGCAAAAAAAAAGGATTTATAATTGAATCAAAAATATGAGTGTTTTAAATTTTTATTCCAAATGACATCAGCGTGATATTTACAAATCATATTAACGTTGCTAAAGTAAAAAAAAATATTAAATATTTATAAATAGTCTATTTCACATCGCGCATGTAAAGGCACTAATCAAAATTTGACAAGTGTCATATGATTATGACACTTGTACAAACTTGTGTCAGATAAAAAGCATAGCATATAAATACGGTGAGAACTTTACAAATTGCTTGCACAAAATGCTTCCATACTTGTGTCACACAAACCGTCGATGTATAATGCCGACACTTCACTTGGCTATTCGTATTTTCTATTTGTGAACTGGACAACGGTCTGGCCTTATCATTTTTATAAGGAATGAAAAGAATAGAGTGATGGCAAATTTACAAATAAGAAGCACGAATAGCCGAGTGAAGTGTTGCCATTAGGTACACATACATATAATGTAACGCTGCTCTATTATACTTGAAACACAAACCTCATATGGAATAAAATGTTTATAAATATATATTTTTATATAAAAATAATTTATTTAAATAAGCATTACAGTAATATTAATTTATTATTTTTCAAATTACATCTAAATAATTGATCTCGTATTTAATCGGACACCACTGTAATTGTGTACAAAAAAAGCTAATTAATAGGAATGACGAATTTTAAATTTCACCTTTTTTATATTACTCATTAATACGACTGTGTTAATTGCTTTAAATAAATATAACAGACTATTCGGCGTAGTGTTCATTTCATCGCCTTCAACATTTTTCCGTTTGTCCCCATTTTGTTACATTTCTGCATAAGCATGGACCTGTATGTCTAATTTACTTGAACCAACTTCGATCATGCCTAGAAATCGCACGTGCAAATCTGTTATAACAGACTTGCACGTGCGATTTCTAGCATAAAAAAGTGCTTATGGCTTAGAAATAGGATATGTCCTATACATATCCTATTTCTAAGCCATAAGCACTTTTTTTTAAATTTAGTACATTTAGAATAATACAATTACTCTGCTTTTTTGTCTCTTTCGTGTTCTTGTTTCCGTTTCCAAAATATTGAAAAAACAATGAGGACAAACCATCAAGATATTTATTATGTGTTCTATTCAAAAGCTAGCAGTGAAATAGATCTCACTAACAATTCTGTATCAAAGTAACGATTATAATTCACTCTTAAGCACTAAATAAATAATACTAATGTACAAACACCACAGGGTAGCTCCTCGGATAAGGATCAGCGCAGAATTACAAGTAAGTCTCAAATCTTCAAAGACTACACATTTACCCCAAAATCATAGTAACTAATTTCAATGATTGAATTTTCATGTTTTCATTTACCTCTTTTACTAGATTCAAAGAGTTTTAATCTAAAGAAAATTTTACTAGAAAAATATCCACGCGGATCAGGCAGCAGACGGGACTCGAACCCTCACCCTTCGCTAATGGACTGACCATTATGCTACCGCTTCCCTGATGGCCGCGTCAAATTTTCTCTATCCTTTCTTAGGCTGCAACGCAGCGCCATCACTTCGCATTGTAGGTAATCCACAATGTCAAATGAATACCTTTAAGTATTAAACATTTGAAAAAAGAAATAGCAATTACAGTTTACGAGTTTTAAGAGTTTACATAAAGAAATCAAGAATGAAAAAACAGAGCTCTCTGTTCGGATCACAGGAAGATTCTTAAAAAACTTGATAAAATCACAAGTTAAATATGCGCTGATCTAATGCTTAAAACAGTAGCGGATTACCAGACCTCGTGAAAAAGCTAAATGTTCTTGCTTTAAGAGATGTTAACAAGATACAAAAGCAAGCCAGTCAGCTTGCCAGTAAACTGCACTGAATACAGTCTTAAGTTTGGTGACTAACCTGCAGTTGTATAATAGCTATCACTGCCCACAAATTAATTAAAGAAAAAGTTTGCGAATCACAAATATGCCAAACCTGTATGGCAGGTTTTGCATTTTGAACCAGACAGAAGAACGTTCTTGAAAGGAACGGACTAGGCGAGTGTTCCGATAAATCAATGTGATCCAGAATTTCAGAACCGTTGTATTGGTATAAATGAGTCACTTGGAACTCCCAACACATGAAAGAAATGATGTTCAGAACATAAGCAAGAAAAAACAAAATGGCAACACGCGAGCTAGAAATCTCGCCAAGCCACGATGATTGCCGACTACGCCCCGAGATAAGTAGGTATAGAGTGACAAATAAATGAAATACTGCTTGGTGCTACAGTAATGCAAGCGGCCTCGTATGGACTGTTTCGGAACACTTGAGTCATTCTCATTTCGACATGGGACTTAATTGGATGTTTCGGTTTTCAGTTGCAAATTACAAATCTCAAATAAACACAACGTCTGCTACAAATATCTGTGGTAAAAGCGACCATAATGTTATACCCATTTTTACGAAGTAAACGTGCAAAATTGGCACATATCACAGACACTAAACTTTGTGCCGTTACAGATTCAAACGTTCCTATCCGATCAGTGATACATTTTTGCCACTATTACAAATAAACCTTCAAGGTATTTTGATGAACAAACCCTACAATCGAGCAAATTCATTAAGTCGATAATCGCTTGTACTAGATGTTAAAGAATCCTATATATGGGATCAATATTTAAAACCATCGTCCCAAGTGACAAAAGTCGAACTTCTTTTTTATGCCGGTCGCACTCCCACTACTGTTAAAAGCTCCTATCCGAGATTAATATCATATTTTACGCACCGCAGTAGAGTGCTATTTACAATACAGTGTAGCTCTCACAATATTCACATTAAATTATGAACTCGTTCTTATAAACATTGTAACAGAATGCACCACACTCTTTGTAATCTCTAATTGTATGACAGATTAAGGTCTTGTCCATGGCTTTCAAGCTACCAGTTCTATGTTAAAAAAATACAGTCATTAGGATGTTAGCGTTCATACAAATGAATACATATTATGGCCATTACCATTGACAATAATTCGTTAGAAAACTGAGCAATTATAAAATTATTTTAGCGTCAGCGATAGAAAAAAATTGCATTGAATCAAATGAGCAATTATTGCACAAAAAAATACCCCGTATCAAATCTACGAAGTCGACCTAAACATATGAAAGGGGACTACATTTCAGCTGTCATTATTTAAAAGGATCCGTGTTTACCATGAATTCTTAAGTAATAGGATAGGCCTTACATATAGGCCATGGAATGCAAAGGCTCCGACACGAAAACAAACAAATAGGACCTTATACACTTTTTTTCATTCAAGAAAATTTTATGAAATTTTCACTATTGATATAGGTAACTAGGATTCTCAGAATTATCTAGATACGAATTCAAGTTTTTTTTGGGTAGTAGGTATTTAAAAATCTCAAAATACAGTAATTTTCGATTTAGAAAAATTAAATATTTACTCTAAAGCTGTCGTTGAAGTGGCCCATTATAATATCAAGAGTAGAACATAAAACCCGCTTCGTCCATCGGTACGATTCCGGTTCAACATTAAAAAATGAGGTTAATTGTTCCTAATAAGAAGCGATTTGTAACAATGCAGTATAGAATATTCATAGAATTGAATCAAATTTACATCACACCAACACTGCAATAGTTACACGATACTACGAAAATTGGTATATCAAAATCGCAGCATCAAACTTAGTTTAACACTAATCAGAACTATACGGATTTATGACTCTTATATCACTATAAAGACAATCAGAAGCGGGTTAGCACAAGACTGACATGACGGAGGCTCAGGACACAATGTACTTTATAGAATGTGATTCTAGACAAAAATCGGATGACTTAAAAGCGCTTTAAGAACTCTATTAGATAATTTTCGAACATTCAGTGGGAGTAACATCTCCCGATGTGCAGAAAATATTTTGACAGTATCATAAAAACAAAGATTTCGTATCATTAACAGTTTCGGATTCCATTGTTGAATGTCACTTCCAAGTAGTATGAATAGGAACTTTTCTTTCAAAGATCAAAGTACAGATAGAGTTGGTTCCTCCAGATAAGTTTGGATTCGTCTCAAACAAACTCGAAATTGCCATCGTTTATATGGATCATCGCGAAATAAGTCAAGATGGACTAAATTCCCGAATCCCGCATGCGACTCTTCGGCCAGCGGATTTCAATTTCTCTCCGTCAAGTTATCGAGAATCAGAATTACTCCACACCTAAACCCAAACCTGAAGCACGAATTTCGACATTTATATGCAACTATAACGGAATGGTATACTGTCATTATTCCTACGATATCTTCTATGCCACAACGCCATGACAACGCACACACTAGCGAATAGAATATCGCCCTTATTCTCATATAGCTACTTAAGTGTGGTCAATGTCAAAATGTCCATACGACCAGAGTCCCTTACTGTAAAAAAATATTAAAAAGTAGTAAAGTAAGGTAATTTCTCGTAATGTCAACTCCGTAATATATCAAAACAGAGTCCGTTAAAATTATGTTACTATCATTAAAACGTAGCGTAGAAAAGAGGCGGAGTCATCTCGGCGTTGCAATACGGTTCGTAGACTTCCGAAAGCAGCATGCGTCGACGCATCGTGTAGTGGGGTGTGGGTGGGGATGGAGGGGGGTGGTGGGGGTGTATATTAGCAGGCGCAGCTCGAGTCGGGCTCCTTGTTGTCGCCGGGCGCTTGTCGCAGTATCACCTCGTGCACTGCACGCAATACATTAAGGAAAAGAATGGTAGTACGAGAACGAAACAGACACCTCCAATACTTCCGTCTACATTCAGATTTGTCTTTTTCTGACAAACTTCAGTTTATTTTTACGTTCGGATTTTGATAAATCGTTGATTCAGCTTTAAAATTTTAGTTAATATACCAAATAATCGAAATGTAGACCGAAAACTTGGTAGAAGTATATACAATATTAAGTGAAAACAGTGTATTAATGTATAATAAAAAGCCAATTACACCAAACCTTATACGTAGCTGTTACAAACAACACAGTACCAGATTAATTAGAAGCAAACACAAACCAACACTACCAACCAACCTACATAATTTGTGTATTGGTCAATATGTTAAAGTATGTATGGTAACAAAAGCTGGTAAAGAAAACTATGAATACCCGCAAATAAAAGTATCATACAAATACGTATGGATGAAATGAAATATTGTTTAAATCTAAAGAAAATTTTACTAGAAAAAATTCCACGCGGACCAGGCAGCAGACGGGACTGGAAGCCGCACCCTTTGCTATCTGGGCGAATGCACTGACCATTATGCTACCGCGGCCCTGATGACCGTTAAACATTTGAAAGAAGAAATAGCAATTATAGTTCTATATTGCTTTTATATTGAAAGGTGCGGGTTCGAGTCCCGCATGCTGCCTGGTCCGTGGATATTTTTCTAGTAAAATTTTCTTCAGATTTAAACATCCATGTATCAGTTAAATAAAAAAAAACTGAAATATTTATTCAACAATACACAAACTGTTCTAACCACTACGATAGAAGCGAGCGCGATGCAGCAGACAGAATACTTTAATCCTTAACAATAATATCACAGATGAATTAGTACTAACATGCGAAAATAATTAAAAAAAACATAATTTGTTACTAGCAAATCAATGATAATACATTTGCTTTATATTCATGTTATAAAATTCAAGTATTCATGTTATAAAGTTATAAAAATGTTAGCATGGCGACCGCACTTTCCATTAATTACTACATAAACCTAGAATTGCACTTTTACATATAAGTATTGAAAAATGTCCCAAGTTGTTATTTTTAACACGAGCACTGAGAAGTATTAAATAGAATTAATAAAAGCGCCATCTATCTGCTGCGTCGCGCACTAGCAAACGGTCGAGGAAGCGCAACATTAGTAAAGTAACGTTACTTACTACCGGTTACACACCGCCACCTCCCGTCGACGCTTCCTAGCTCCCTCAACCCACTCTTAAAGCTAAATAACCATGTTACATTACGTTAAAAGAATAGCAAACGGCTTGATACTTCTGTTTAATTGTAATAAGTATTAAAATAGAATGTGCTTAAAAATCCTTTTTTAAAACAAAGTGACAAACTAGCGACATCTTGTGAATGAAAGAGGTAGTCCTTTCCGAATCATAAAAAAGTGAACAAATGTATATACTCAGCATCATAATTACAATGAGAAAATTAAGAAGTCGAGTTTATGAAGGTTTGAATTGACCTTGAACAATTCAAATTGTTTCATGCATATTTCGTATTTAGATGTACTTTATACCACGGAGCGATTCGAGTGATAAAATAGAATAATCATTGACAATTTTGCAGAAAGATTGAAGTCGGTCTTCCGGTCACATCTATCGGCCCCCATTAGTGTTATTAGTTTCAACGGTATGTAGCAAAAATATAAGTTAAGTTGAGCAATCATAATATATTTTAAAAAACACACGAAAAAGATGGTTTACAAATCAATTCAATACTGCATAAAAACTTTTTGCGCAATGTAACATTTATTTTTAGCTAGTGACCGTCAAAACTTAAAATGCTATGTGGCCCGATAGATGCGTCGGGGAATAAAATAATGCCTATTATTATGTCACTAGGATACATTTTGAAAAGACAAAGCATTTTACTAACATTTCTTAGTTCGAACATTTATAATGCGCTTTAAAATATATTTTTCGTGTCAGTACGATTTTATTTCGATAACAAATAGATTTTGGTGGTAGATTCTTCAATATAAACTCACCTATTCAATGTAATGCAACATAGTTATTTTCGCAAAATTATGACGTGAACGAATGATGACTAACACAGCTGTTATTCTCACGAACACTTGTTCCACCGGATCATCTTCAAACAAACGGACAAAAACTAGCAATACCGAGCGTGTTAATAAAACGCGTGACGTCACACAACGTAACGTAGTACCATTGTCGAGGTTATAGCGAATCGCCATTGACGAAGCAATGGCAGAATACCCAAAAGCATCTTCTGCTAGGTGGGATGACCGTTTTTAACTACATATATAGTTTTACTCATAGATGGCACTATCTATGCCAATGACAGAAAAGTTGTTTCTAGCTCGTCTATTAAGTTTTCGAGTATTTTGATACGAATATCAAAAATACTCGAAAACTTAATATTTTTATCATGCTTTTAAAAAGCAAATATCGAAATATTTGTTTTTTAAAAGCATGATAAGAATATACTGCTGTCAAATGCACAAATAGCAAATACGAATAGCCAAGTACTAGCATATAGTTTAGCAAATAAATGTCACAAAAGTGGCAGTAAATGTGATTTTACACTAGAACTCGAACTAGTTGTGTAAAAAAGTATAATTTATATCAGTTTAAAACTTAACTTATTTTACTTTTAAATCAGATAAAATACTTATATTATCGAGGAATGTAAATTAGGATATTTGAGAAGGCATTTCTCATAATCAAAGGGACTCGACAATGGTAACACAAATGGTAATAGTGACACAAAGTGTCAATTAGTGCGTATTATTTGTTATGCGTGTTAACTATATGTGGGTAATAGGTGTGACCTGTTAAAGTATCATGTTTAGTAAATCCAAGCTCGCCATAAATGAAAAAGCTTAATGATATAATCATACGCTCATGTTGAACTCATATTATGAAGGTGATTCCATGTTTTATTATGTTAATAGTTACAACAATGTGAGATGCTTTTTTATCCATATCAATTTGATATGTAAATGAGGTTCTCGTTCGTTTGTATGAATTTCATGTTGCGATATCAATATCACATCAAAATGTTGGTTTTAGATAAATTAAAAACCTTGTGATCTCCTGCATAAGGTTCAAAATCTCAATGCACTGTATATAAAGGATGGATTTCATAGTATTAACAATGTAAAAGGCATAGTTAGTACAATAAAGGGTAACCTAGTGCTAAGGTTGATAAGCCACAAAATCCTGACTATCCAATGTAAAAACATTGCACACCAAACTGTTAATGACACATTGCTTATATAAAGTCTAGACTCTAGACTGATAAATGGGATAGGTATTTAAAATAGTGCGAAACCGAGAGCTTGAGAGTCAATTTATCAGACATGTGTTAGTGACTACATTATCACAAATCGATGCTAGAAAAATAAAGGTTTTAGTTCTCCAAACAATTAGGTATGAACTGTGACAGATTATAAGACCGTCCTTTTTTGGGGTAGTGGTTACTTTTATATTTTATTATTTCTCTTTTTTAAGAAACTGGTAAATGTGTTCTGTTTAGAATGTAATGCTAAGAGTTAGAACTAATAGGTAAGGATCTCTAAGTTCATTACCCCGATGAACAGAATTGCTTTATATGCAATTATAAATAAACAAGCTGAAAATCCACGGTACTGGATTCTCAAGCTAACGGTATTGCATTAAGAGTGTTTTTAGCATGTCTGGCCATTGAGCATTGGCACTTAATAGTAGAAGTGTTAGCATGTACGATAATGTGAACTTATATTTGTGTAAAAGGATACTGTCTTCAGGAGGCTTGCTTTCAGCGGAGTCCATTCCGGGCAGCGCAGCCGCCACTCGCCGGAATAACTGGGGACATTCCACGTCGATATTATCAGCTAAATCACACTTGTGTGCGTTTTTATACGTGGAAAATTATGCCATGCATCATTGTGTTAGGTATGTATGGGTGGTGATCAGTTGCTGAGACAGTTTTCTTTATATGTGGCAAATTATTCCATACAACCTGATATTAAGTATGGGTGGTGGACAGAGGAGCTAAGACAGCTGATTCAGCAGAGATAAATGATGTAGCAGTCAGCAGCACCTTAATGACGTAAGTAAGGTGCTGCCTCCTGCTTCCTGATTACATGGAACTCTTACAATTTCACTGACTGAAGGAAACTAACGCTCAATCTAACGATCAATATTTTTTTTATTCTGATTTTGGACAACTCACAACAATTATTTAATCCCAATCTTAAACTAAACAGAGTTGTATAGAAATTAAATAACGCATATTATATAGCTTAAGTATACAAATATTTTTAATTATTCAAGAGAAGAGAACAAATATTAGTACTGTCACACAAAGAAATAACCCTGCCGGGTTACGATCACAAGGCTTTGCAAAAAAGTAGGATCGCTACCGTTGCACCAGCCAGTCGTAAAATTATAGATCCTATTTGGTTGCAAACTTCTGTAAGGTGGGGTTGTGGGAATCTTCATCAAACGGACTCCCTAATTGAGTTCTATTCAATTTATCATCATAAGCCATAACATGACTTTCTGATGCAATTAGGGGGCAGTTATAAATGTCATAAAATTTGCATTATTGAACTGCCACTCAACGCAGCATGCTCACGACTGATACAGCCGAGACCAACAGCTTAGCATGCCTTCCGAAGACGGAGGGTCTCGAGATCCCGAGAGCTCGGGATCGTAAATTTTTAAACTTGTGAGTTTTACCTATCAAATTCTTCGGATCGATGACAAAACAGCATTCTAGAGCAATATATATTTAAAAATTTTACACAAAATTGCCTAGCCCCAAAGTAGGTACTGTAAGGCTTGTGTTATGGGATGCTAGGGCAACGGATACATATACTGTACATAAAACCACTAGGCCACGGAGGTCGTCAAATTACCTGTTTAACATTGTATCCAGCCTTGGCGCTGGTCTCGATGAACATGACGTTGAGCTCCTTGGCCTTGCGGTCGCCGTCCTCGGTGGACACCTGCCGCTTGTCCGACAGGTCCGTCTTGTTGCCCACCAGCATGATGATCACGTCGGATCCGCGCTCCGTGCGCACGTCGTCGATCCACTTCGACGTCTGGTGGAATGAGTTCGCGTCTGCGGAAAGGAACGGAAAGATTGATGGTCAGTCGGAGAAGAGGATCAGTGGGGAGGGGCAGTTGCCGAATAAGAGCAAGCGCATATTGAGCCACTAAACGCGACCACTAGTGGCTCAATTAAGCCACTACGGAGGAGGCACACCATGCTTTGCAATATGGGAGCAAAAATTATATGTAATATATCACTGATTTTAAGAAAATTGTATGGTCAGGTTACGATGGGGCTGGTATGGAAAAAATGGTACAAAAGTCCCTTAAGACAAAAAAAATAAAAATCAAGCCACTGGACGCAACCATCAATCGAAGCGACTAGTGGCTTAGTGGCGGCTATTTATGGTCGCGTTTAATGGCCGCGATAAATTATTGATTTGCTCAAATAAAAAGTGGCGGAGTCGACTTAAACTCACGTTACGAAAGTATTAAGACAAAACAACACAGATTCTTTAAGTCAATATTCGTTTGCGTTTTATCTCGATAACAATTCAAGAACCAATAAAAGTTAATTTCTTTTGCCAAAATTAAAAATGTGCATAATCTGACAGAGGATGAGCGTGGTACAGATATTACTCTGTAATAAGCCAAATGTAATGTTGCCACGCTTAAATCACACAAAACATTGCTGTGTTCAAGACGCGACGTCCCAGCACAGTAGCCTGGAGAAGACATTATTTGCATGAGGTCATAATATGCACGGACTTTAACTCCTGACGGTAGCCCGGTTTGATCAAACACGGCCCTGTAATGTATGAATATACCTTGATCTGATAAAAATATATTATTTTAGTGATATGTTGCCGCTGTTATTATATATCTATAAGTATAATAGTTTTAAACATTCTTTTTTTAGTTTCATTTTTAGTTGAAAGATACTTTTGGTATCGTTAAGAGCAATTTAATATTATTGTGATTTTTGTATTTTATTTAACTAGTTACTTATTTACTTAGTTAAAAAAAAATATGAATAAATAGCGTAATCAAAAAATAATAACAAATTTTCCCCACAAGAAAATTCTTGCGCAAACTAAGACAGAAGCACAAACACGGCAAATAAAAAGAGTATAAATATAAGTATTGTCTGTTATCTTAATGCGAATTTGCGTATTAGTTTTATTCGTTGATTTTACAAGCAATTATTTCATTTTATCACTTTATCGACGCCGCGCCGAGATAAGAATAATGCTCGAATGAATCGAGACGGTATAGTTAAGTTACCTTTAGCTTTTTTCTTTTGTTGTGAAGGTCAACAATTGTTTTCATTCTGTCTAGGATCATAATTATTAAGTCCAAACTGGATCATCATTAATTTTACGTAATTTTATGCCGGCTCTACACTAGTGTCGAGAAGCTTCGTGAACAGGCGACGTGAAAGTGGATATTTTTCGCGGCTTCAAAGTTTTTTTTATTGCCTTCGAAAGCAGACGAGCGGACAGGCCACCTGATGTTAAGTGGGCACCGTCGCCCATGGTCATACTCAATGCCAGTGACATAGTCATGGCGCAAAGTTCGGAGTCATCACTACTGATGCGACAACACGGCGCAAATTCACTCTATTATTTCACGGTATATACTGCTGTTACCAGCACTTGTGAATGTCGAAAACCTACGCCATCGGGTCGCAAATCTACGGCCGCAGACCTCGTACTGAGAAGAACCGGCAAGAAACTCAGCAATGGCTGTTTTTTTCTCTGAACGAAGTGAATTGAACGATTGTACGAATAAATAAATAAATAAATAAATATTTCCGACACTCACACCAATTAGCCTAGCCCCAAAGTAAGCACTATAAGGCTTGTGTTATGGGATGCTAGGGTAACGGATAGAATACATATACTGTACATATATAAGTATATTTATATAAATACATATTAAACATCCATGACTGGAGTACAAATGCTCGTATTCATCACACAAACATCTGCCCCCACCGGGATTCGAACCCGGGACCTCTCGAGTCGGCGACAGCCATGAAACCCGGCGTACAAACCACTCGGCCACGGAAGTCGTCTTGTGTGATGTAACGAATTGAACGATTGATTGACGACCTTCGGGTCGTCGTACAATTATCATTATATACAGTTAAAGTGAAGCCTCGTTCAAGAACTCGGCGTAGCCAAGCGAGGGTGTGTGATGTGAGAATCCGTCCCGATTATTACGTTCAACTCAAAAAGGCGAAATAAGCAGGGCCCCTTCCCTACCCACTAAAACCAGTAACAATTCTCCTGCACCAACGCGTATTGTAGGACCGGGGTCCTCAATAAGCGTATAAGCATACCGGTAGAGGACAATCAACCAAAACTCGTTTCTTTAAGAATTGTAACGACGGCGGGACATGTGTACTCGTCATCTCTGGCAACAAATGAGATTATTTCTCCTGTGGGAACGAAGCCAGTGGTGACGACTAGGAACAACCGTGTCTATTCAGTATTGATTTGGTGTAAAACAGAGACCGTTCAGCCTTCAAAGTGCAGACGACTCGCAAAAGGTATTCCACCTTGCTAAATATTTTCTTTTCTTTTCTTGGGTTAGATAGAACCGAAATTTCATTAAACTAATTAGAATTTGAAACCTTCTCGAGATTTACAGATTTACAAACGCAGGCATAGCACGTTGAGTGCTCTTTTTTCAATATCACCAAAGACGTATTCAAAGTACTCCATCACCGTATTTTTAAATAGAATTCAGCTTAATTCTACCAAATATATAATATTTGTATAAACATGGAAACTTTTGCAAAGGAAAAAAATATTGACTTATAAAAGAAAAACTCCAACTTAATAAACATAAACTTACTCCGAATAAGCCGAGTTCAAATAAGATTCCTTTCCGAATTGGCTACATCTGAACCACAGGACAACCGCAATCTGATTTGTAATTTTTCTGTAATTTTGTTTTAAATTGAATACTAACTTCAATAAATATTCAATTTAAAACAAAATTACATAAAATTGAAAATGTTTACAATGATTGCTGGATCGTAATTGCTCAATAGTGGGGAGGTGAGGGGTGACACGTGTAAAGTAAATATTTGACCAAGTCCGTCTGTGATGTAGGCCATTCGCCAACACAAACAGATCAAACTAGAGCCGAGCTAGACTCCCTAATCGATGAAACGAATATCCCAAAGTCAAAATAATTGGACCACGTCTTGTTATAACATTGGGTTGGCGGTTTTACGCGCAATATGTGAGTGATAAAAGGAAAACTGAAAGAAATACAAATTGGTAGGGCATAGCAGATTTTTCGCTCGAATTGGAACGCCAATCTGGTGAAGAAACCACCTTACCGAATATCACAGTAAAATAACACTACCTTTTGGTGATTTTGTGTTTCTGTCGGTTAAGTAAGGCTCCAACCAACCAAGGCTCCAACGGGGTTGAATTGAGTAGGCAAATATTTTTTACACCCCATACCATCACAAATGCTACCAATTTAATACAATACTTATTGAGGCATTTAGCTTGTCGATAACTGTAGTAATTTATAACAAACGTCTGCGCTTATTAAAGCTACGAGGAAACAAGACACCAGTAAACTATTCGGTGAAAGTGAAGAATATAGCGATTCCTCGTTAATAACATTTATATAGTACTAGCTGTGCCCCGCGGTATATTAGGGATATTTTCCCGCAGTAAAACGTAGCCTATGTGTTAATCCAGGCTGACAGCTAACTTCATACCAAATTTTATTAAAATCGCTCCAGTCGTTTAGACGTGAAGAAGTAACAAACATACACACTCACAAACTTTCGCCTTTATAATATCAGTCTGATTTAGAATTGGCAACTAGTACACTTTTGTACAGTAATTCAAAATCCTTGTTATATTATTATGTCTTAAAAGTAGGTAAAGACTTACAATGCGACCATAGAAACATTAAGCCCATAAGGAAGATATCATTATCATTATTTTATTATTACCAAATTGGCATGCTGCACACTTGCCCAGCACTATTACTGCAACATGCTTATAGTATTTTTATTTTAAACTAGCTGTGCCCCGCGGGATTACCCGCTCTTTATTAGGGATATTTTCCCGCAGTTAAACGTAGCCTATGTGTTAATCCAGGGTGTCAGCTAACTCCATACTAAAATTTATTAAAATCGCTCCAGCCCTTTAGACGTGAAGAAGTAACTAACATACACACGCACACACTCACAAAATTTCGCCTTTATAATATTAGTGTGATTATTACATGTATAAATTATAAGCATTATCTTTGGATATAATAGCTTCTCTGTGTCGTTCTAAAAAAAGAAGTAAGGTAAGACTTTAGCATCCTCATTAATAAACAAGGAATAAGCTTAGACTAGTTACGCCGTGTGTATGTCACTCAAATGCAATTTTTCATTCAACGAACAGAGACAATCATCATCATCATCATCAGCCTATTAATGTCCCCACTGCTGGGGCACAGGCCTTTCCTATGGATGGAATAGGGAGATAAGGCCATGACCCACCACGTGGGCCCAGTGCGGATTGGCGGGTGCTAACGACTGCAGATGCAGCCGGGACCAACAGCTTAACTTGCCTTACGAAGCACGGAGGAACTCGAGATAGAAGATTTTTGGCCACCCATCCAATGACCGACCACTGCGAAAGTTGCTTAACTTCAACGATCGCAGCCGAACGCGCTAGCCACCTGCGCCATCGAGCTCCTCGCAGAGAGAAAACATGGATTAACTATATGAAGCTTATTCTGCGTTTATTCTTAAGGGACAGGGAGGTACGTCCACTAGTCCCAAGGTTTTATTACGTACGGTGGTCCTACAGCTTTAGTTTTATATGACAACACAATAACCTGTATTCGCAATAAAAATTATTTGAATTTGAAAAAAAAAAGACATTATTGACGGGCGTTCACTAATAAAATTGGTGAAGTATACAGCTTTAAGAAAATATTGAAGAATGGAAATTGAGGGGTCTCGGTTATAACAAGCTTCTGAGTACTAAAGTGGCAATCAAGCATGATAAGAGGTGGCGGAGCCATGGAGATGGTGAT